CCCCAAAACCCCAAAACCCCAAAACCCCTTTATTTTAGACTATTACTGACTAATTTTGTTAAATGAATGTGAAAAATGTAAGGAAATTAGAAGCTGATGATATCCACCTTCTTCGGAGCAATGTACTCCTGAGAAACCCTGAGATAGGTACCCTGGGGAATATTTTAGAGAGATTGTTATCAAATTCACTAAGATCAAGACCTCAGCAGCTCAAACTGAGCATCAAGCTGTATCAGAATGATAATATTAAGCAAATTATGATTATTGACGATGGGTCAGGCATCCCCTGGATGGCACTTGATGCTATTAATACTGACGAACACTTTAAAGGACGGTTCCTCAATTCCTTAACAAGACTATCAAAATCTTTTATGATTATCAGTAGATATAAGAAAGCGAATTCAGCCTTTCTTAAGAAATTTAGAGAGGGTGCTGAAGAAGACAGTATCAAAAGAGTTAGAGAATTCCCATTTAGGTCTGGCACTTTTATGTCAATCACCTTATCACAGGAGGAAGAAAAACAATCCATAGCTGCTAGTTTTAGCCAAGATATTGTTTTAAGAACTCTCTTTCAGAATTCACTGACTTCAAATGCAAATATTACACTGAAATTAGAGAATTCAAGGGATCTGATGATTACTGGCAATGAATATAAGATTGATTTTCATACTATGAGGTAAACCTTGGCTTTCCGACTGTATAGACTTGATAAAGACAAGAAAATGAAGGTTGAAAAATACAAGAAATAAAATGAGGCTTTCGGTCAATAGTCTTTCTAGCACATGCCATTCATTGCATATATGATTTGCTTATAATCCAGACCAGACCGCCTTCCAAGATCTGATAGTTTCTTGAGCAGTAAATTCTTTCCCAGTCAAAGTCGGATTTTTGAACAGATTTATTAAAGATTTCCTGGTAAATGCTAACTGAGATGTGATCACTGAGTAAGCAAAATATATTATTTTGGTTCATAAAATAGAGAGGTTTTACAGCATCCTTTTCCTAGGGAATTCCAGTTTGATACCAGCAACGTCCCTGATTGGATCAAAGAGTCATTAAGAAGTGCGCAGGTATAAGTCTTAATCATTTAATTAACTTATGCACCTTGGTTCTTAACTCAACTGAAATTTTTCATGAGAAAGCATCAAATTTCTTCTAGTCATTAATCAGCCAAACATAGTTCCCTGTATGCTTTTTGTCAATCAAAATTACATCAGAAAAGATTCATGAAGAAATGAAGCTTGTGCATAAATTAGAAGAATTTAGTAGACTATTTGATAACAGGGCTGATGAAATCAAGAATCTCTTTCAAGGATCAAAGAACACTGAGAGCTACAAGCCCCTCTTAATACAAGATAGGGCAATAATAGACTTATTCTACTACATCACCAAAGGCATGAAGACGATCATCTTGAATGTCTTTAAAAACCATCCTAATTTCGATCCTGAGGTAGCTGAAGAATGGTATGGAGTGATTATTAAAAATTTCCAGAAGGAGAAACACAGTATGACTTTATTAATCTTTAGAGAAAAGAACCAAACCATGAACCTATAAACGTCCAGTGAAAGAATTTGAGAAATAGCATGTACACTGTCTCTGCCTACATGACTGACAATGAGATGCATGATATGTTCAGTGGTAAATATCTTAGTCAATATTCAGACTCAAAAATACGTCTTTCAGACTCCAGACCGCAGAAAGTGAGAAAGGAGAACATAGGAGCCAGGCGACAGCCAGACTTACTCCAGAAGCCCAAAGGGATTCTCAAAGATAGTCACAATATTCGAAAATCCAAAGATAGGTGTAAAACTGTTACTTTTAAAAAGAAAAACTGCGATTTTTCAGAAATTGGTGAAAATCTAAAAGAGACTATTCGTAAAATTCATCTGAAAAATCCTCATAAGAGAAGAAGTAGCAGTGCCAAGAAGCCAACTGTCTCTAATCCCAAAGGGCTGAGATACCTTAATAAATACAGTGAAAACTTTCAGAGAAGACAGGCTAACCTCATGAAGCCTAAAGTGAAGCTTCTTAGTCAAACACTAAAATTTCAGTAAGAGATTTTGGTAAAATTAAATAGGAAGACTGATATCCAAAATATGAAAATTGTTGGCCAAGTTGATAACAAATTTATTGTCTGAAGAATGAACAAGGATACTCTGATAGCTCTTGACCAGCATGCTGCTCATGAAAGAGTCCGGTTGGAATATCTATCAGCAATAGTTTTGAAGGTGAGACCTTTTTGACTTAAATAATGCTAAAGAAATACTATGAAATTTTTTTAATATTATTTTTAGCTTCAATTTCCAGATAGAGAGATTTATTCAGAAATCCTTCAAAATTACCTCAATATCATATCAAATGTCCTATCTATTGAGTCTGGCTGCTCAGAACATCATAAGCAATTTGAAAGAATGGAGGAAGAATCCAAGTTGCACAAATAAGACCCAATTTTTCAAGCCAGACCATTCCTTAAAACCGATAAATCATAAAATGGTTATAGAACAACTTGGGAAAGTCAAAGTAGAAAATTTAGAGAATATAGTGAAAGAAATGGCTGATTTTATGTATGAAATTTTTGGCATCACAGCAGTATTGAAAGAGATATCAAAGCCAGAGGATGTGGGAAGGGCCGGAGGATGAGTGAGGTTGGAATTTGAGGTGATTTCATTTGCTTCCTTACTTGGGACTACTCTGGTTCAGGAGTCTTTGGAGATCATTTCAGGAGTCCTTAGAAATCATTTCAGTTGTAACCAAAAGTCAAGCTTGTTCATTACAGATTGTCTTTCCAAGGTCCTGTACTCCAAAGCTTGTAGATATGCTATTAAGTTTAATGACTCCTTATGAAGATGTCAGATACAAGGTCTCCTTGACTGTCTCAGTTTGTGTAAGGATCCATTCCATTGTGCACACGGAAGGCCTACTCTGTATCCGATTTGTAATATTTTAGAAGTTTCAACCTAGCCCAAATCAAATGGGGTTTTGGGGTTTTGGGGTTTTGGGG